TTAAATTCCGTGTCCAGGTTGCGCTTTTCCTCACTAAGATGGGATCGGTAAACAGGTGTCCAAACCTTTACTGACATTTGACCTGCTCTAGCCAGCCAGTAGCCACATGTAGCTATGTAAATTCCAATTTAATTTGAAAGGAAATAAGATGTTCTTCCAGAAAAGTAAGATTTAAGTTCAAAGTGGCATTTCAACTGCTCTCTCGGCCCCTCTGCATCCAGGTCAGTCAGTACTGGGTGTGGTCAGAGATCCCAATTCTTGCCAGCTCAGTGGCCGAAAGGTAACCATTCATTGTTTTAAACCAGCATCCGTCTTACTGACCATGCGGACAGACTTATATTCACTGTTAGTGACCATGTGAGCAAACTCACAGATGCTGGATGTGTGGAGGCTCTAGAGAGCTTGGTGTACTGAGTGGAGAGCAGGTCATTTGCGTCATGCTAATGGCATTAATGAAAACTGGACTGTGAAGCCGTCCTTCCTTACCTTGTAAGTGGTAGGTTCGTTTGTCTCATCAAGATCTGCACTCTTTGGCCACAGCCCGGGGCTGTCTGTGTATCACCATCATTTCTCCAGTGGTGGAGAAGACAAAGCCTTCCAATCCGACCCAGCACCCTTCCTGACTGGCTGTATTCTGACCCAAACCTTCCTCACTGCTAAGTTAGGATAATGGTGTTGCCCATGCTCTTAGGCCAATGTGAAAATTAAATAAGGGCAGCTCAGTGCAGGGGCCTCTTGTGATGAACCCAAACTGCTGCCATGTGAGTCCAGTGGGACTCGTGGTGGCCAGCTCTGTGGTTGTCCCGGGAACTGAGCCAGCGTGTTTGCCCTGTGGCCTTCTTCCATAGGACTGGTTAGACTGGCCGAACTCAAGGCAACAGCCCAGAATTTCAAACCCGTGAAGACCCCCGCGGCCTTGCCAGACGGCATCATCACCCAACGGGAAGACCCAGAGAAGAGCGCCGAGGAGGAGCTGGAGGAGGGGGCCCCCGAAACCCGGCCTCGGAGGCGGAAGGCAGCCAGGCCCCCCGAGGCGGCCATCAGGGCGGAGCCGGAGGATAAGGCCAGAGCCCGGAGGCAGAAGGACTTCGACACTTCCGAGCAGAACGCGTCCAGTGACGAGGACAGCCCAAAGAGGGAGAAGGAGCCATGGACCCAGAACCAACAGAAGCTTCTGGAATTAGCGCTGCAGCAGTATCCAAAGGGGGCCGCAGACCGCTGGGACAAGATCGCCAAGTGCGTGCCTTCGAAGAGCAAGGTGGGTGCAGAGGGAATGCCGCGGGCGGAGGGGCTGTCATCCCTGGACCACAGTCCGCGGGCCTGGCGCACCCGTCACCCCACGCATTGCTGGGTGTCCACGCCGGCAAGGGGGCGGCTCCCTCATGGGAAGCCGGGAGCTGGCCACGAAATCCTAAGCCCCTCCGGCCTCCCACAGCCCACATGCCGCAGACGCGGTCACCAGGAAGGCAGCGGTTGTGGCCTAGGCCCTCAGCTGAGACACGGGTGCCCCTGTCCAATGGGCACATCGGCGCTCGTTTACATCCTTTCCCTTTTTAAATGAAATCCCGTGTTGGGAAAGCTAGCCTGAGCATTCAGATCTGCTCACCTGCCACCTGCTTTAACCCCCGAGCAGTTGATCTGCTTGGGAAATGGAGGCTGCCAGAAGCCCCCATCCCCCGTCACCTCTGCCGGCAGGACACCGTGACGATTGACACGGGCCTCGAGCGAAGGAACTGGGGGTTCCGGTCTGCCTGCCGTCACAGCCCCTGCATGTAACCCATGACTCGTGACCTTGGAGCCACGGCCCAGAGGGGCTGCGTGCATGTCTGCCTGGACCTTGGACTGTGGGCGCTACCTTTGCCAGGACGACAGGGTGGTCCCTTGGGAACCCGCACCTGTCAAGGTTGCCAATTAGTCCTGGCCTGGCCCTGCTCTATTAAAATGCTGCCAAGAACAGGCACGGCCAGGTGAGTGCGGGCTCCCCATACCGTTGTGCCCAGTGTTCAAGAAAAAGGATGAATTTGGGGGAAATACCCGCTGATGAGCCACTCCCCACATGGCCCCCGTCTACTATGTCCTGGGGCCCCAGCGAACCCAGACTGAACGACAGCCCCCAGCCGGCCTCGGAACTTTGGTTTCCCCAAAATGGCCAAGTGCAATGTCGGAGTTCTCCAGGTTGATGCCCACAGTGTGACGAGCCCTGGGTCGAGAGCGGCCAGTTGTGCTGCCGCCGGCCTCACCTCTTGTCTCCTCCTCCTGCAGGACGACTGTGTCGCACGCTACAAGCTGCTGGTGGAACTGGTCCAAAAGAAAAAGCAAGCGAAAAGCTGAATCTTCTGGAAGATGACTCACTGTCGTTTTCCAAAGGGATTATTTTTAAGATCGTTTGCATTTTGTACCTCAGTATTTCTATACGTCATGTGCCTTAGAATAAAGAAATGAATGTGCTAAATTACTGAAGCTAGGGACGTGGGCGTTCGTAGATTATCTTGGCCTCTCCTCCCAACGCAGTGAACCTCCTGGAGAACAAATCCAAGTGCTTTCTAACCATAGGTCCAGTGTGATCCAATGTGTGTTAAAGAAACTGTGACCAAAGACCACCTCAGTGAACAGTGATGCTGGGGGCTGAGACACAGGATGAAGTTGCTTTGGCGAGGGGGACTAGTTGGTTTTAAGAACTGTGTGCAGTGTTTTCTTAATGTAATGTAGCTAGAAAAAGAGTCCATCCACAGGACCGATGTTGAGTGGAACTATCTCCTCGACTGATAGAATTCCCAGAAAGCATGTAGAGAGTTTTTCGGAACTGATTCAATTGAGTCTTACTAAACCACTATTTTAAAAGTGTTGATATCTACTGAACTATTTTTTTATTTAGTTTATTGGGTCATACTAAATGCAACTCGTGCAATCAGGTATTTTCATTTTTCCCCCCAGATATTTTCCTCTTATTCTCATTGTTTTTTAACTATATCTTAGTTGATCTTTGAACTGTCTTCTCCTGAATATTACTGTAGGCTCCTGCCGCCCCCACCCCCACCCCCTCATCTGAGCTGAAATCTGGAAGGCAGGCTTTGTGCCCAGCTTCCAGGGCTGGGGACAGAAACTCGGGCAGCGGTTGGGGTGGGGAGGGGACTCCAATGGCACCACTCAGCCTCCCATTGTATAAGATGCACGAGTGTAACACACACACACACACAATGAGCAGGAGGCGTTCACTCGGCCTATCTTTTCTGCCCATTTTTTGTCTGCAACGCCAGCACTGTCTAAGAGGAGGGGCAACATTCATTGTCTAACCAGTGGTTGAGGCTACCAGGCGCTCTGAGGGGCAACATGATGCAGCTGCTTCTGTAGAGACCACAGCCGTGGAGAGCCTAAGGGTCATTCTACCCTGTTGAGATTGACCCCACGGCAGAGGGTTGGGGGGTGTCTTTTAATATCCGCATTGGTGGGTCCACCAGGTGCCACTGACCTGAGCTGCTGCCCTCCCCTGCGGTTTAAGGAAAGGGCAGAGTTTGAGTCACATCTATATCCTGGATCTGAGGGCAGATGAGTCCAATGGTGTGGCTTCTGGGTGTCTTGGCTGTCTGTGGGGGTGGGGGCTACGGGGATGAGAGCATTAAAGGGTCCCCACCCAGAGCTGCCCCCTCTGTCTAGTCTTCACCCACTCAGACTTCATGCATATGCAGTAGCATTGTTGAGTTCCTGCTGTCGACAGCACAGGACTGGTCACGTGCCCTCCACCACCACTGATCCACCTGTGGGTGGGGTGGGGTTGGGGCTGGCCCTCACCTTCCTGGATGATCTAGTCCGCATCGTTTACCACACTTAGAGCATCTGTGTTTGGAACCCAGTCACGTGTTAATTGATTTTGCCCCGACCAGGTAAAGCCGGGCCTGCCCGAGTCACAGCATGCCGAGCCCTATTCCAGATGGATCTGGAAGGTGTGGGGCTCCTTCCCAACTGCACGCACTGTTTAGACAATGCTTGGCTATTAAATATGAGCAGTGAAGGGACCACACTGCTTACTCCTTAAATTCTGATTCTTCTGCCAAACTGGCTACGAGAACTGCTTAGAAGCCCTGAACTTACCTGCATATATATCTCGACAAAAGCCTCACCCCTACACCTAACTCACATCTTGTCGACTCTGGCTGATGGCGACCCTGTGGGCGAGGGGAGAGCTAACCTCCCGCGGCTACATGTAGAAAAGGCCTCATTTCCCTCTCGGAGCAGCTGGTGGTCTCGAGCTCCTGGTCTTGCGGTCAGCAGCCCACACAACCCCCAGAGCCCCTCCAAAAGGCCTGAACCCGCCGGCCACGACACGGCTTCAGAGAGCTGGAGCGGCCTGCTTCGGTCAAGATGGACAGCCCTGGACCCCGTAGGGCCACTTCACTCCGTCTCAGACTCACTGGGGTTGTGACCCCACTTCAGCTGGAACATGGCAGCCAGTAGGTGTGTACTCACTGGTGTATTTTTGAATCCCATTTCCAATTTCAGATCAAAATTGGGATAAGCTTCCTACTTAAAATGTCTCTTGCTGCAGAACTTGCTCTTGGTAGGTGCTAACCCCACCCCCTTACACCAGAGGGTGCCCTCGAGCATAAGTAGCGAAGTACCGTTCTTGAGACACCAAGTCTTCCTTGGTCTCACTATGATGAATCTGAGAGAGATAGAGACTTGTTTCCTGAATAAGTATCGTATTTCCCTGTTAATTTCCTCTTAAAACTTGTTTCAAAAGCTGTGTGTTATAAGTAAATACAAAGGACCCAAGATACTTCATGTAGCTCTTAAATATATTGGGGCTTATGGATCGGAATCAACTCCTGCCAGTAGGGAGGACGCAAATAAGAGGACTGTGGCTCCATGTTGCCCAGGACAGCCCCAGCCTACACCTGTCGCCGTACATGCCATCTGGGCCAGGTAGCCCCTGTGCTGCTTAAAGATGGCCAGCATCGATGCCCCCACAAGCCTTTGAGGGATCCCAAATTCTCCCAATTGGATGCCTGCGAGGCTTTGGCATTTCTTTTACTTGCTTTTGGCATCGCCGGCCCTGGGGATGGAGGTGTTTTGCCCATCTCGACCCCCAGCTCCTTCAAAGGCAAGAGTGAGTCGACTCACCAGGAGCTCCTGCCACCAGGCTGGGACACTGGCTGTCGTCGGCCTCGGCCCAGCAGACATTGAGGCAGCAGCTTGTGTCAGGGCCTCACAGGGACCCTCCAAGACTGCAGCACCTTTAGAGCTTGCCGTTTTATACTGCGTTTTCACGCACGCACCCCCACCCCCACCCCCACTTTCCTGCGAAATTCATGAACCTAAAACAAAGCCCACTTTCCAAATATCAGAAGACCAGCTGTCATTTCTCCCAGGTGCGAGGTCACTGCTGAGCACGCCGAGCTGAGGCAGGCCAGCCGGAGTTAGTCACAGAGGGCAGTCTCACGGGACACCCTGCAGGCCCTCGCCAGGGGCCTGGAGGCCCCGTGCAGGCTGTAAAGGGGGTCAGTGGAGGCACAGGTCCAATGCCCGGCCACCAAGAACTGCTGTCCCTTCAGTGCCTCAGGGGAGATGATGCAGTTCTGCCTAATTCACCTGTCACTCAGGAGCCGCACCTGCGGCCTGGAAGCCAGCTCCTGTTGTAGCAGTGATCCCTGCCCCCTGGGTGAATAAACTACTTGGCCTTGGTCTGGCCTTGAAGGTGATTCCCTGGGGAGCTGAATTATTGCCCTGTAAACCTCAGAGGCTACAAAGTATTTTCCTCTAATCTGGAGGGGAAAATAAGGGCTTTGTGTGAAATGGTAAAAGAGAAACTGCTTTAGCAAACTGGTTCCCAGGAAGGAAGCAGGAAGCAGCAGCAGCTACTGTCTGAAGCAGTGAGTCTAAGGGTGGTGTGTGTGTGTGTGTGTGTGTGTGTGTGTGTGTGTGTAGTGGCGGGTGTGTGTAGTGGTGGTGGGGTTGCTGTGTATGTACAGTGGGTTGGTGTGTGTGTAGGGGTGGGTGGATGGGTGGGTGGGTGTGCGTAGTGGGTGGGTGTGTAATGTGTGGGTGTTTGTAGGGCTGTGGGTGTAGTGGTGAGTGGGTGGGTGTGTTTAGTGGTGTGTGTGTGTAGTGGTGGGTGGGTGTAGTGGTGTGTGTGTGTACTAGTGGATGAATGGGTGTGTGTGTAGTGGTGTGTTTTGTGTGTAGTGGTGAGTGGAAGGGTGGGTGTGTGTAGTGGTGGGTGGATATGGTGAGTGGGTGTGTAGTGGTGTGTGTGTGTG